GGGGTGACCTAATTGAGACTTATAAGCATCTCAAGGGGCACTACTCAGTCGACTGCCCTTACTTGGAGCAGGCGGACGCTCGCCCCACAAGGGGTCACAGTATACTGCCAGATTCTGGGGTCACTAATTTTAAGGGGAATAACTTAACTATAGTCTTAATTTTAAGGGTTGCTGCCACCAGACCCCCTCTGGGCAGTATGTAGCTGGTTAGGTAGCGGGCAGAGTGGACCAGGCATTGGGTTAGGTTATTCATTGACCAGATCGATAAGGGAAAATAAGGGTGAAACCATAACATGTCTTAACTAATTTATTCTTTATAAACTATTTGGCAACAAAAAAATACAATTGAGTTGGCCTTCGTCAGAAGAACAACGATAAGTTAGGTTACCCTGGTTACAATATCATTTAACACTTCGGACTGCTTCACCTGTATGGAATATAGCACCTTAGGTCATCATACACAGTAACACCATCTCACCTCCCTGTAGCACCAGCTCACCACACCTGTTATACTCCACACCTGCAAGTATGGGACTCCTTGTAATGTCTAGGAACACATATCAGGCACCTCGTTCGCACACCGCCCTCGGTGTGTAGAGACGAGGATTTCACCAAGAGACATACCAGTACTGTTTCTACGCCTGGAGTTTCTCAAACATTTCCTTATTTATTCCTACTCATTTGGGGTGGTATGCTGGGAATCCACAGGTTCACAGTGGAATAACATAGTTGGTAGTCACCTCACATGGTGGGACGCTCACAGGGATAATGGCCGACGCCCAGCAATGTGCTCCGACCGCGTGGGACCTGAGGTGATGGGAGGACGAAGAATACTCAGAAATAATGCCTGATGGGCCGTTATCACCCACCCCAACACATCCCTATTTCACTTTATGCATCAAGCAAATTTTTAAGCTGTAGTAACTGCTATATAAGCCCTTTTTAGGGCGGGATGTAGCCCGATGGAGGACACTGGGTGAGGTGATGGGAGGCCAAAGGATACTGAGGGTAGTGCCCTGCCGCTCCTCACCCCGCAGGCCTACAGTTTCCAATCTTTAATTTTTACTTTGATTTCTTATGGTTCTCACATCTCCATTTTCCCGTTTATTGTGACCTGGTGTCTTATAAATCAATATTTTAATCCTAACTTACATACTAGAATACGGTTCGGGCTTGACAATTCTTGGGGAAATTAAGTGGGCTATATCAACAACTCACACCTGTAGGCCGGGTACAAGGGACGTTGCCTTGAAACAAAAGCCGTATGTTCAGAGCTTGGGTATCCACTTCACTTAAAACTGTAATTAGGGATCCTCCCCTCACACATTGCACTACTTGAACACAGAGCATATGATTCTCTGATCACTGTACATGTCGTGGGTATACGTCACCCGAGGATACGAGGTGTATTAAGTTCACACCGATGCATACAAGATATTTCCTTTTAAGTATAGTTTCGGGGTCACTTCCAACACCTCACATAGTTCCAATACATTTATTCTTTTTCCAGATCATTGTTCTCATGTATTTTCATATATCTGCGGAAGTTATGTTCACTACACTTTCACAGACGTAAATAATATGACCTTCAAACCACGATCCACACTTAGTCCTACAGTACACCAGTCCGGCTCAACTGGACTTCCCCAATCATCTTATGGATACTTTGAGTTCTTCTTAATGCAATGAATACATACAATTAATATTATATAACTGTACCTGGGTACAATACAACCCAGTAGGTGAGTTATCCTTTATCAATGTGTCCCGTTCTCCGAGATTCTACAAGCGCGGTGGATTTGAATGTTATGTAGCGTGATATGAATTAAAGGGGTTTTTAGGAATGACAATGATGTGCGCAGTACAACAGCTCAAGATTGAAGAAGCCGCAAGTCCAGAAAACTGTGATGGCAAACTTTTTCGGAGTGAGGGTTGTAAACTCTTGGAACACTCTACCAGAAAGTGTTGTGACGGCGCTCTTTCAAGACAAGACTTGACCAACACTGGAGCGGGTGCAGGTTGTAGGGTTATGAGATATTGGGTTCACACTCAGGATGGGATGGAGAAAGGAAACTCACAATGTGCTCACTGTATACATATTGTAATGGATGTACAATGCAGCTTGTTGCTGGGTAGGTAGCATGGTAATAAGCGTTGAGTAGAGAGAGCTGGGTGGTGAGGGTGCCCAGAGGAGGGACACGCGGCTTGAGGGGCGCCAAGGTCGCTGGCGGGAGCGGGAGCCGCCGGGCTGGCGCAGAGGAGGTGTTGCTTGCTGGTGGTACTGTGTAGAAAGAGGCTGGTCACTGCGGTGTCAGGCCTTATAAGGCGGGGGTTGGCGTGGGTAGATAGTTGAACCCCGCTCCGTGGGCGGTGCTGGAGGCGTAAGCTGGGGAATTGAGAAGGTTCGGTGCTTGTAGGGGGAGGAATCCACTACAAGGTACATTCAGGAGACGGTGCATGACCTGATTTAGGTGCATGGCCTGATTTACGTGGGCCCCAGGCCAAACTCATCAGTGGGCCTCTAAATTTATAGAAAAGTTTGCATATTTCAATAATCAATATATATATATATATATATATATATATATATATATATATATATATATATATATATATATATATATATATATATATATATATATATATATATATATATATATATATACTGTATATGTATGTATATATTACTGTAATTATTTTGCAAAGGCCAAATGTCATATAATATTATAATGAAAGAAATAAGAATTTCAACACAATGTGACGCATCATTACTTTTAATCAAATTAGTTCTATATCATGTACATCTTATATATGGGAATAATGAAAGAAACACAATTAACTTGAAGCATAATCAATTTTGCAAGCACATGAAGTACAGCAAACTGTGTGAATTTCAAAATAATTTCTTCCTACTTTTTTTCATGAAAAATTTGTCAATGTTACTGTTTGTGTCAAGGGATTGTAGGAGGCCAGATTCAATGCATAATAATGAAAGTGAGTTTAATCTGGTTAGTCCCATTGTAGACCTGAGGTGATTTTTCACCCTCGCTTCGTCATCTGAAACATGAAAGTGAACATCTACTGTGTCATCCCCTGGGAGTTTACTGTGGGGTATGAGATTGTTTGGTTCACACTCAGGATGGGATGGAGAAAGGAAACTCACAATGTGCTCTCTATATACATGTTGTATTGGATGTACAATGCAGCTTGGTGCTGGGAAGGCAGCATGGTTACAAGCGTGATGTAGAGAGAGCTGGTTGGTGAGGATGCTCACAGGAGGACAGCTTGTGGGTCGCCATGCTCGCCAGCGGGAGAGAGGACCGCCAGGCAGGCGGAGGAGGGAGGGCCGCCAGGCAGCGGCAGAGGAGGAGGTGTTGCTGGCTGTGGCTGTAGGTAGAGAGAGAGACAGATCACCACGAGGTCAGGTCTTAAATAGCGGGGGTAGGCGTGGCTTAGCAGTTGACCCCCGCTCCGTGGTGTATGGCGGCGCTGGTTGACCTAGACCACGAGGCATACACTGGGGAATTGGTGGGGTCGGCTAGGCAGCGACAAACAGCGTTTGTAGGGGAGAATTCCACTACATTACTGTCACTGGTACTTGGCTCTGAATCTCCGTTTGGTTTAAAAGATGTTGTCAGCTTTGACTGCTTTTAACTTTCTCTTTTGTGAGCCACTAAGATATTTTTTCAGGGACGACATATTTATCTCATGAGAATCCCCAAGAATAGTCTGTAAGCAAAACAATAGTGTAAGTCAATAAGAGATACCAATATCACAAAAAATAGACACAAAAACACACGTAATATAACACTGAAGTCCATTTAATGCAACATGTAAAATATCATTAGTAAATAATGAGTGCTGCGTACACAATATAAAATATCACTGAGCTGAGGCTGAGAAGATACTGACTGGCTGAGCGAGCTGTCAGCAAACCAACGATAACCCTGACACGTACTGAACGTGAAACGATCCTGTCCTTCAAACGTCAAGGTGCTGAAGGTTTCTTGAACTTTATTCTCTCTCTCTCTCTCTCTCTCTCTCTCTCGTATACAGGTATATGCATGTACGTATAGATAGATAGATAAATAGATAGATAGATAAATAGATAGATAGATAAATAGATAGATAGATAAATAGATAGATAGATAGATCGATGGTGGGACACGGACATTTAAAAAAATGTATATATATATTTTTATTATTATCTTATTTTATCTTATTTTCTTCATTTTACTATAGGGCCTAGTCCGTGGCCCACCTGAGAACCACCCCATGGCCCACCAGTTGAAGACCACTGCGGGCCTATACTTATTGTACAGGGGCCCCATACTCCGGGCCCTATACTTATTGTACAGGGGCCCCATACTCCGGGCCCTATACTTATTGTACAGGGGCCCCATACTCCGGGCCCTATACTTATTGTACAGTGGCCCTTATGGTTGTGAATATATTATATAATGAAATACTCAGTGTACACTTGAAACAAGGTTATACGCTGGCACGCTGCGCGACAAATTAGTTTCAGTGGGCATGTACCGGCTCCTGAATGTACCTGAACCTACTCCAGTGTTGGTCAAGTCTTGTCTTGAAAGAGCTCACACTCGGTGCCGTCACAACACTCTCTGGTAAATTGTTCCAAGAGTTTACAACCCTCACTCCAAAAAAGTTTGCCCTCACAGTTTTCTGGACTTGCGGCTTCTTCAATCTTGAGCTGTGACCCCTTGTGGGGCGAGCGTCCGTCAGCTCCAAGTAAGGACACTCAACTGAATAGTGCCCCCTGAGATGCTTATGCACCTCAACTAGGTCCCCCCTTGCCCGTCTGTAGTATAAGCTAGACAAGTTCAGGCGCTCCAATCTCTCAGGGTAGCTGAGGTGCCGAAGTGCAGGCACCAGTCTGGTGGCCCTCCTTTGAACATTTTCAACTTGTTCCATTCATCCACTACTCTGTTTCCAAACCAGTGTTTACCTATTTCACGCCGAAATCTAAATTTGTCTAATTTAAAACCATTGTTACGAGTTCGCTCCTGGTTGGATAGTTTGAGTACTTTTAGGGCAAACGTTTTCGGAGTGAGCTTTGTGAACTCTTTTAACAACCTGCCAGAGAGTTGTGACGGCACCGAGTGTGGGCTGTTTCAAGACCAAACTTGACTAACACTGGGGCTGGTTCAGATACAATCAGGAGCCAGTACTTAGCAACAGTGCGTAATAGAGACGTGACCAACAGCACAAGCGGCTAACGAGCCGATAAGTGGCTAAGAGGACAAAGGTAAAAACAAAAGTATAAATGGCAATAAAAAATAACGATATATATCTCAGGCTGTCATCACTTGTAAATCATTGTGAACTTGCTTGGAGATTTTGAATGGATATCCCAATATATATAATATAAAATACTGTGTATCACGACAAAATATAATTAAATAATTAAGACGAGTAAAACATGTTAAAAACAGGATAGGAATGACCAAAGGAAAAAGTTTATATGTTAACAAGGGTAAAACGGAGGGATTGAAGTACAGTACACAATATGTCATTTTAGCATATAATACTCCTGACAAGTGTGGGGAGCGGATTGTGTTGTGTGAAGTGTTTACTCTTGGCAGCTGGCAGGTGAATAGTCTACTGTTCCACTGACTTACGCTTCATAGTTTTGGTGAGAACATATTTATAAGGGTATGGGAGTAGTTATTTTGTTTTATGTGTAAACGGTTGGATGACTTCTGGCTTAGTAATACTACACAACAGGGTCTCCACTAAACCAAAGGTTTGACGAATATGATTTGTTGGGTATTATTGCAGTTTCAGCCCAATTCGGTTTGAGTAATTTTGTGGTTGGGGTTTGGAGGGATAAGTAACCACACATTTGCGACGGAAATGAAGGTCAAATTCGAATGAATCTGACCAAATACCATGGGAAAAACAAAAATGGTTAAGTGATCTTTTCGGTCATACTCCTATTTGGAAATCGTTCAAAACGCACCAGAAACCATCGGAAAACCATAATTTCAACCTAACCGAATCTAAACTTAAAATCCTAAAATTCGCTGCATTATTGAAACTATAATAATACCCCCCCAAAATTGGTAATTGTGCAGATTACAGCAACCAAAGAATTCCGGAAATTCACATCACTCTCTAGAACTATTTTTTCTATTATCCATTTCGGTAAATGTTTACTTTAGGACACGAGTTCCTAGTGGTTGACCATCATATTTGTCCAGCGTATTTTGGTGTGTTTTAAACGAATCTGACCCTCATTTATTGCGGAAATTACTATTTCTATTTTTTGCCCCCCCCCCCCCACCAACAATAATGGGGGAGAGCCTGGGGAATCTGGGTTTTTAGGTGGGGGAGAAAACGAAAACGTCATCAGACCTAACAAAACCTAACCTAATTCCTAGCTGGGGGCTCTGCCCCCGGACCCCCAGTAGGCCTAACCTGACCCCTAGCCGGGGCTCTGCTCCCAGACCCCTGGTAGGCCTAGCTTAAACTAACCTAAATGTTTCAGTAGTTTAAAACTTTGGGACGCGCCATGTCCGAAAGTACAATACCTTAATTAGAAGTGTAAGGACCAAGGATAGGTACAGGGTCATCAACTTCCTCCTCCTCGTCGGACCCTTCTTTGAGTGGCACAGGTGCAGCACGTTCCTGGCGAGGGTGGGTTCTTGGTCCTTGAGGTGGGTAGAGTCACGCTGCTGTGGTAAAGAACCGGTGGTGACGATCTGAAGGGTGTTGATCCAGTAAGAGGTATCGTGCGAAGTACTGCTGGAAGTATTCGCTCTTCATCCCAGGTCTCTTGGTCCACTCCTTGACGTCACGCCACAAGCTTTGGGTGGTCTGAGTCTGAACTCGAGCGTCATTGGGGTCCACAAATTGCTCAGAGTGGTTAATCACCCAATGAGTGAAACCCTCAGATTGCAGTGATGAGTATGCCTTCCATCCATCGCTAACAATGATGCTCCGAGGATGAATATAGCGTTTAATAAGAGGAATTAGTGTTTTCGCCGGTCTGTCATGGTTTACTTCATTTAGGGGCACAATAAATTTTTTCTTATTCTCCCTTTCAATGCCCCCAAACACCCACACTGTATTCGACTGACGACCTCACTCACACTTCCGCCTAACAAAAAAGGTCTCGTCAATTTCAACCACGTTACCATCACCACCTATGCGCTCCTGATTTTCAAGCCATTCTAAAGTTAACTTGAAGCAAAAACTCCTCCAGTCTACACTTGTTCTAGATGACAGTTGCAGGTGCTCAAAACTGTCTCGTGATCCCAGCACTTTTGGAGCCAGTGTTTAACGAAAATCACAAACTTCCACAGAGGGAAGTGAATGTGATCAAGGAAAGTGGCGTTATCGTCTGAGATAACGTATTTAAAAATTTTCGAAATTTTCTTCTTAATGAACCTCCTTGAACGATTGCCGAACCACTGTTACTTGTCCTTTCTAAGTTTACACGGTAATTTACAGTGCAGTCCCCGACTTACGACGGAGTTAGGGACCCAAATCCAGGTCATAAGTCGAAATGGTTGTAAGTCGAAAATGCTTAAATAATACCTGTACATAGAAAATCTAAAATGGGTGTCTCTTTTTCTTCTCACCACCACAAAACTCTCACTTTTAAGCTTGCCAGCCATTTTAAAGTGAATTACAAAATTTTTTTTTGTCAGTACACAGCGCAATCACTGACGTTGGGACTCGAAGATACGTAATGTGACAAAATTTTGGTACGACTGAGGCGGTCTTATGTCCGTGTGGTCGTAGTCGAGTATGGTTGGTCATAAGTCGAGGAGGAGCTGGATATACTTCTGTCACAAATTTATAATAATGAAGTTATTGAATTTTAAAAAGAATAAAATCAGCGTACCTGTCCCTGACTTGAAGTAAGGTAAAAAATACCGTAACAGCTATTTATATTATTGTGGAGGCTGACCACGCAACTCTGGGTAATTAACTAGCATATGGCACCCCCGGTTAGGTGGTTAGGTAAGGTTTGGTTTGGTTGTATTGTATAATCCACAAATCACTTCGGGTTATTACCTTGCATTTGGCCCTAGCTGGGGGCTAAGGTCACCGGGGGTTCGGGGGCGAAGCCCCCGTTTAGGTGGTTAGGTAAGGTTTAGTTTGGTTGTACAGTATTGTATAATCCACAAATCGCTGGTTTTTTTTTTGCTCTCCCACGCCCAAAACCCCAAATTCCCACACTCTTTCCCAGTTCAGTATTGTTATAGGAGTGATTTCTGACAAAAACGAAGGTCAGATTTGAACTAATCACATCAAAATCCATCAGAAAACCATTCTTTTTTTTTAATTTCATGGTTGCTGTAATTTGCATATTTATCCCAAAAATTTAAGGTCGAACAGAAGTTGGGGCTGAAATTGCAAATTTACCATTTGTTGAACGTTGGTTAGTAGAGTGTATTGTACTTGTGGGTTTTGTGTGTTGCGACCTCTGTGCCTTTGGTGTTTAACGGAGGATTGATATTTAAAGCCCATTTGTAATTTCTAATAGCACTACCATCAGAAAGAGTTGATTGATTTCGTTCATTTTTTCCACATGTTCTTATCATTATAATAAGTATTTTAAAAGAGGCGACATTTTATTTTAATAATATTTAAAAAATGAGTTTTTCTATCTATGATCACAAATCACCTGTAGTAGGCATGAATGATGAGGGAAATTTCTTGGTAAAACACACTGAATAACTGAACATATGACACTAAAATGTCAGGTTAATATTGAGAGATGCCTGCCGCCACATTATTTGTTTTGACGTTTCTTTTCTTACTATATTTTCATCAGTAAGATCGGTATAATATTCATTTCTTGGTCAATAGCTTCGTTTGGTAGATAATTAGGCGCCTAGGCATACACTACTTTATATTGGTGATGATGCTGCATCCTGGTTGTAAACAGCCAATTATGTTGATGTATTTTATTTCAAAACGCTCCGCTGCGCATTGCTGGCGCCTTGACTGATGCCTACATTCAGTAAATGTTTATGAGCCACGCGGTCCAGGTGCCTTCTCTCATGTCCACAAAACACTTAAAAGTACTGTACACCATAGAGGAAGTTCTTTCTGTTTAATATACTCGGGGGTTTGTAGGGTGGAGCCCCATGGCTAGGGGGTTAGGTAGGTTTCTTTGGTTAGGTTGGTGCAGTCTTCTAACAACGCTTCTGCCACATATTTTTCTTATCAACTAAGGTTAGGCTAAGTTTAATTTAGAATTAACCACTTTTTAACACATTTACCCAAACTACGACTGTGTCCTCTACCAAATGCAGTGAAATTGCGGTTTTTAAAATAATTTTCTATGAATAATCTGCAGTGGGTATCTCATCAATAATTACCAGATGATGTCTCTACGTGCTTTGTTCATGAAGAAATGGATTATTTACTATAAATACTCCTCTAAAAAATCTGCCGAGTTAGCTCGTGTTCAGTTTGTTTACAACCAACCTGCTCGGTCCGAGTGTACTGTCACATCCACAAAAAAAATTAAAATTACCTTATGTCGCTTCAACAAAGTTGCTTTCATTAGATATCAAAATAAGTACAGTACTGTACTTTGTTTTTAATATGGTGGGGGTCTGTGGGCTGGAGTCCTTGGCTAGGGAGTTAGGTAAGGTTAGGTAGGTTGCTTTGGTTGGTTATTCAGGTTCTAATAGGTTCTAGTAAATGTCTCCTGTTTTAAAGTACTTTCTATAATGATAAGAACATGTGGAAAAAAAGAAAAAAATCGAACAACTCCTTCTGGTGGTAGTGCTGATATGACTTTCTGCCTCATTTACACGTAATTGCAGGGTCTCAATTGTTTTTCTTACTTTAACAACACAACATACATATACGGTATCATTTCTCACTCTTTATTTTTTTAATTTTTGTATATTTATTTATTTATTTATTTTTATTATTATTATTATTTAAAATTTGTATACATTTTTATTATTATTATTAGTTTCTTTTATTGTAATTGTTATTTATTTTTATATATTTTTATTAATTTTATTGCAGGGGGCCACCGAGTTAGTTGATTTTTATTTCGTGGTCCTCCATTATTCGCGGATTACACCCTGGATGTACCCAAGAATGTCTGTGGGTGGTTTTAAAGTTGCCGGCATTTTCGAGGCTGGGACAGGGAACCATTCGTTCTAGAGTCAGTAATTTCCTTTATCTGTATTGTAAATATGTATGTGTGTGTGTGTGTGTGTAGACACACACAAAACACATACAAATAAATAATAATTGGAAAATCCTCTC